GACAACAACGGCAGCAGAAGCAGCAGAGGAAGGGCAGCAACAGCAAACCCTCAGGTGTCTAGGCGGCCGCTGGGAGCCCTTAACTCTACAATGTGCTGCACTATGTCCTCCCCTGGGGCCCTCTTTGGGCCCCAGCTATTTGGTGCGGCTGCCGGCCGGCATGCAGGAGGACCCGGAGGACGATGAGGAGCAAGAAGCAACAGCATATTCAGCAGCAGCAGAGGGAGAGGAACGCCTTGTCGAGTGCGTAGAACCACAGCCACCAACCGCAGACCAGCAGCAGCAACAAGTGCAGCCACTGCAGCAGCTTCTGCGCTGCACCGAAGATGGCTGGGAGCCTCCTGTCACCCTCAACTGCAAACGCAGCTGCAGGCAGCCGCCGTTAACCCCTGATGGCGCTGAGCTCAAAGGGCATGGGTTGCAGCACGGCAGTGTATGGACAGCAGAATGCAAGCAAGGTAAGCGAAGGATGCTGCTGCTGTTGCTGCTGCTGTTGCTTCTGCCGCTGCTGCGCTGTTGCTGTTGAGGCTGTGCCTTATGCTGCCGCTGCTGCTGCTGGGGCTTTTCTCCACGTAACAGAGGCTCTACTTCCGGATGGTGCCGCCTGTGTTGTTGCTTCTGGGGCCGCTTTTGTTAGTGTTACTGTTATTGCCGTTGCTGTCCATCTGCCGTCGGTGTTGATGTTGCTGNCGGGTTGCGTTGTTGCTGCCGCTGCTGCTCGTTCTGTGTGGTGTAGAGGCTGTCACTCCTGCCATTTCCGATGCTTCTCTTGCTGCTACTGCTGCTGGCGTGAGTGCATCAGCTGCTGCTGCTCTAGTTGTTGCTGCGCTTACAGTTGCTGCTGCGGCTTCTGCTGCTGCTGCGCTGCAGGCTACGGAGGGCCTAACGGGGCCTTTTCTGTGGATTTCAAGTGCGACGATGGGCAGTGGGTTCGCGAGAAGTCTCTTGGAGCAGCAGCAGCATTTGCCTGCAGCCCGCTGTGTCCCGCATTGCTTCTCAACCCCCGAGCGTACACCGTGACGCCCGTTGCAGCAGCAGCAGAAGCAGCAGCAGAAGGAGAAACAGAAGCACCAGTAGCAGCGGGAGCAGCAGCAGCAGTTAAAATTACTTGTGCCCCCAACAGCGTCCGCCTGGGGGGACCCCCCGAAGAAATACTGCGGTGTCGAGGGGGCCTTTGGGGGCTGCGGTCCATTGCCTGCGCTGCAGGCTGCAGCAACCCCCTAGACGAGCTGGGCAGGCACTACACCCTGATGCAGCCCAAACAGCAGCAGCAGCAAATGTTCCAACACGGGGACACAGTGGATATCACGTGCAGCGATGAGCTGCAGCACCACAGTCCAGCAGCAGCAGCAGCAGCAGCAGCAGCAAGACAACCGCACACCATTACCTGCATCGATGGACGTTGGGAGTCGAAACCCCATGAGCAACGTCAGCAGCAGCACGATGCTGAGGCGACAGTAGCAGCAACGACAGTCACAGGTAGCAGCAACGGGGTGCTGCTGCGCTGCAGCGCCACCTGCAGTGTTCCGCCTCTGCCCGCACACTTTTCGATTATCATCCCCACGAAGAAGCGAAGGCTTGGAAATCTCTTCGGGTCTGTTTGGAAGGAAAACGAGAAGCTTATGATTGGGTGCTCTCCTCCTTTCCAGCCCACATTGCCCTCGCCTTTGCCGCCGCCGCCGCAGCAGCAGCAGCCGCAGCAGCGGCAGCAGCAACGGCAGCGCCAGAGGCTGCAGCAGCTCGAGTGCGTCGATGGGGAGTGGGAGGGAGACCTCCGGGAAGAAGTCTGCGTGCGGCGCTGCCCAGGGGACGCGGGAGGCCCCACCGAAGCACAGTGGAGAGAGCTGGGTGTGCGTTGTGGCGAGAGCTGCAGCAGCAGTTGTGGCAGCTGCTACAACGGCAAGAAGGACAAGCATGAAGACGGCGTCGACTGTGGGGGGCCCTTCTGTGANTTAAGCAGCAGCAACAGCAGCAACAACAGCAGCACCAGGTGGAGTTCCCTGTGGAGATGACGCGACATGGCTCAACCATAAGGATCGCATGCAACAGCAGCCGCTCCTTATCTTTGAGAGTCACTTGTAACAACGGCAGATGGACAACAGCAGCAGCAGCTGCCGCTGCCACTTCCGCTGCTGCTGCACCTGAAGATGCAACACACATCGCCGCTTTTGCTGCAGCATGCGTACAGGCGGATCTCGCGGCTTCAGCTGTCAGCGGGAGCAGCAGCAGCGTGGCAGCAGCAGCTCCAAGAGCCATCAGCGCAGCGACAGCAGCATTAGAACGCCTGGATGACGATGATTTTATGCTATCTGGAGCAGGAGCAGCAGCAGCAGCAGCAGTTCACGGGCAGGACCCTCCCTTGCAGTGGCGCGAGGAGGAACTCCTCCGTTTCGGGCCGCCGGTGCTGCGTCTTGTTCAACCAGGAGTCGCAGCTGCTCAACAGCAGCAGCATCAGCAGCAGCAACAGCAGCAACAGCAGAAACGTCTGAGCCCGTGCATGCAGGAACTGGTTGGAGGGGTGTCGCGATTGCTCGTCGGTGAATGTGGGGCTTTGGCCTTCGGGCGGTCTGCCTTCAAAGTAGCTTCATTTTGCAAGGGGACATGCAGCAGCAATTTCAGGAGAGAGCTACAGGAGGCTGAAGAATGCAGCAGGAAAACTGCTGCAGCAGCTGCNGCAGCAGCAATTTCAGGAGAGAGCTACAGGAGGCTGAAGAATGCAGCAGGAAAACTGCTGCAGCAGCTGCTGCAGCTGCTGCAGGGATGGGGGACGACCCAATCGCAACAGCAGCTGCTGCTGAAGCTCAGGACGAACATTTGCTGCAGCTCTTCCGGGAGTTGCTAGAGGTCCTTTGCTCTGTAGAGGACTCGCAGCACTGCTTCAGCCTTGCCGGCGACGCCTTCGCGCTACTGCAGCGGCTGCACCAAACACCACAGCTGCAGTTGCAGCAGCAGCTGAAGCAACATGTGTGCCCAGGCAGCAGTGGCAATGCCTGCTTCCGCAGCAACATTCGGTACATTTCGGTGCTGCTGCAGCTGCGAGAATACGTCGAAATAGCTTTGCCAGGCATGCATCCCCAGCACCAGCAGCATCACCAGTCTTCTTCCTCGTTCGCAGCAGCATCAACAGCAACAGCAGCAGGAGCAGCAGTAGGGACAAAGGGTCTCGACGACGGCGCTGTGGGTGTGGGGGTGCGGGGTCTGCTAACAGATCTGCGGCGGCTGCCGGCGGTGCTGTCACTGCTGTNGCTGTGGGTGTGGGGGTGCGGGGTCTGCTAACAGATCTGCGGCGGCTGCCGGCGGTGCTGTCACTGCTGTGTAGCGAGGCGGATGGGAGGAGCTGTGCCCCCCAGGTCTTTGCTGTGGCAGCAGTAGACACTTTTGCTGCTCTGCCGCAGCAGGCAGCAGCAGCAGAATTCTGTAGCAGCGCCCCTGAAGCGCCTTGCCTCCTTGAGGTGTACAGACTCGTCGGCAAAGAACTGCTGCGCCCGCATCCGCAGCCCCATACCCAGAAGCAGGAGCAGGAACAGCTGCTGCCGCAGCAGCAGGAGCAGCTGCAACAAAGACGGCAACAGCAGCTGCTGCAGCAGCAGGTGCATCCCCATGACTGGGCCTTAGGCACGGCTATGGAAAGCATAGGGAGGAATTTTTGTTTGCGAAGTGCAGAAGACAAAACATGCGGGGCGTTGCTGGTACCGCAAGAGGCGACAAGTGCAGCAGCAGCAGCAGCAGCAGCAGGACGCCTGCGCGTCTATGAACCAGCATCAGCAGCAGACATGCCACACTGCAGCTGCCCTCTGGCCTTCGTGGGGGACGGCGAGTGCGACAACAGCTGCAATACCGCCGCCTGTGCCTTCGATAAAGGGGACTGCTTAGCGCAGCAGCAGCCGTTGCTGCAGCCAATCATCGAGTTGCTGCAGCAGCATCTGGCTGGGGTTGCCGACGGCCCCTGCTTTCCCTTCAGTCTCAACTTTCAATGCGCACAACACGAATGCAGAGACGCAATACAGAGTCAGCACACACATCACATGANAGTCTCAACTTTCAATGCGCACAACACGAATGCAGAGACGCAATACAGAGTCAGCACACACATCACATGATGCTTCTGCTGCTGCTCTTGCTGCTGCTTTTGCTGATATTACTGCTCTTACTGCTCTTGTTTCTGCTGGTCGTGCTTCTGCTGCTGGCACTGCTAAGCATGCGCTTGCTGCTGCTGCTGCTGCTGCTGGTGTTTTCGTTTCTGAGTGGTCAGTATAAAGACTATTTCCGCTAGCGGTGGTGAGGCGCTTGTGTGGTCTTTTGTTTTTCTTTCTTTCCATTTCCTTCAAGTCGTTGTCTCCCTTCTGGTAGTTTCTGCTCCGGGTGTTGACATGTGGCTGCTACTCAGATCTGCAGAAGCAGAACGGCTGTTGCGTGGCCCCCCAGTTGGAGTTGCTGCGGGACTTGCTCTACATAGACCAACAGCAGCAGCAGCAGCAGCGACAGCAGCTCGCACTGCTGCAGCAGCAAATGCCCAATGCAGTGACGCCGCAGCTGCTGCACCTTATCCAATCGCTTTGGGACGAACTCGAAGGAACATCTGGGCCCTTAGAATTATACCGCTCTGTTGCCTTCATAGAGGCAGACTGCAAGGTGATCTGGCTCTGCTGCTGGTGTTGCTGCAGTTGATGCTGCACTGTTGCAGTTGCTGCTACTGCTGGTGTTGCAGTTGCTGTTGCAGCTGGAACTGTCTATAGCGCAGGATATCACCGCCTATCCAGTTGCCACGACAGTTTCTGCTGCAGTTTCTAATGCGATCACTGCATTTGCTGTTGCATTTGCTGCTTCTGCCGCTGTTCCTGCTCCTACACCATCCGTGTATATTTTCTTCCCTCTCACTGTGTCTGTCTCTTCCTCCGTCTGTCATTGCATATCTGCCTTCGTGTGGCTGTCCCTCTACCTTTTTCTTCCTGTCTCTGTTCCCGTGTGTTTCTGCCTCTGTCTTTACACTTTTGGGTTTTTCGTTTGTTTTCTTGTTTGCTGTTTGGCTGCAGATGCCCTTAGACCGGACCTGCTCTCGGGGCCTTAACCGCTCTGTCTTCGCGGTCGATGCGACAATAGAGGGCCTCAACTACGAAGCCTTAACCAGCAGCAGCAGCAGGAGCGGCAGGAATGATGAGGGGGAGGAGCTGCTGCGTCACGTGCTGCGTGATGTGTTCGCTGCTGCTTTGGGGCTGCCAGTAGGAGACGTGCTGCTTATTAGGTCCTGGAAGTCCGGCGAACTACATGCTCTCATCGACGCCGGACCGCTCAGCAACAAACCCCACTTCCTTCAGGCAAACCCTAAACCCTAAACCCTAAACCCTAAACCAGAATTGTTAATTCCTCGAATGAAACCCCTAAACTGTGGACCATAAACACGACACCACAAGCCCCTACAACCCCACACCAGAGACTCTAAACTCCCCGAACCAAAACCCTTGACCCTAAACCCGAAACACGAAACCCTAGACCCGAAACCTTAAGCCGGAGCCCCGAGAACCTAATCCGCAGACCTTAAAACCTAAACTTTAAACCCTACATTTGGAACCCTAAACCCTAAATGGTGAATACGGAGAAGGGGAAACGACTGGTCAAGGGAATGAAGAGGGAGACGAAACAAAGGAGAGAAGGGGGAAGAGGAAAAGGAATATCCTCTGTGTGCATGCGCCCCAGCATAGCAATAGCAGCAAACCAGCGATGCCGTTGTTGCTGCTGCTGCTGCGTCTCAGGCTGTAGAGAGGCTCCGGCAGGACGATTCCTCTGGCCTGGCGGCGCTTCTGTCTACTGAGCTGCAGCGGCAGCAGGCTGGTGCTGCTGAAGCAACGCATGCGAATCAGGCTCTGCAGCAGCAGCAGCAGAAGGCATTGGGTCCCCTGTTGCTGCACCCAATTCCCTTGCTGCTGCCTGCAGCATGCTTTTCTTCGCCTCGTGTGTCCGTCTCTCCGTCGAGCGTCTCCATAGCCCCCGTTGCCTTTGCTTCTCCTGGCAGCAGCAGCAGTAGCAGCAGTCGGCGGCAGCAGCAACGGGAGCTGCTAAGGCCTGAGAAGGGTACGTGGGGCCTGGGCCGCATAGCAGCACGCGATGTCTCGTGCAGCACAAATGAGGGCCTCAGCGCCCCGCCAAACGTCTCTGTCTTCGAGGCCTACAGACTCCACTCCACATCCGCTACAAACGAACACGGCTCAGTCATTACTGTGAGGCCGGCGGAGCCTGCTGGTGTACAGCTACGTGGCCGTTGCTTTTACTCTTGCTAGTGCTGCTGGTGCTGCTGCTATTTCTGGTGGTGGTAGTGGCGCTGCTGCTGCCGTTTCTGCCGACGGTGCAATGTTGCCGTAACTCCTGCAGACTGGTGAACAGAGACTATCGGGCTGCTGCTTCTGCNTGCCGACGGTGCAATGTTGCCGTAACTCCTGCAGACTGGTGAACAGAGACTATCGGGCTGCTGCTTCTGCTGCTTCTGCTGCTGCAGGTGGAGTGCGGGCGCGGGTATTCAGCAGTTGCGGGTTGGAGCCCGCAAGAATTGATTTGCCAGCAGGGGCGGTGGTCCCCCTTGGCCGCTGTTGCAGGTGCTGCAATTGGAGCTGCAGCAGTTGGCGCTGGAGCAGTCGATACTGCAGCAGCAGGCGGCGCTGCAACAGGCGGCGGCTCGAAGGGGCAGCAGGTGCTGCTGTGCAGGAAGCCTTGCGGGCCGTACGAAGCAGCAGATCCTCTAGTGTTGGGCCCTGCGTTTATAGCCAGCGGGGTTGGCGAGGGCCACGGGGATCAGCGTTCTGTGTACTGTGCCTCGGGGTTTGTCGCAGCAGGTGCAGCAGCACCTAAGAGCGAAACCATCGTATGCAACAACGGAGTGTGGGGCCGCCGGCAGCTGCAGTGCGTCAAGGACCTCGCGGGCATGCTGGAGGCCAGCCCCTGCAACGGGGCGCTCTCGCTGCTGCCGCCAACCCTAAAGGTGGAGGGCCTCCCCACAGCTCATCAACCTGCTGAGCCCCGGGGGGCCCCTGACAATGTGATGCTGAGTCAGGAAGTAGCAGAGGCCCTCGCGGCCACATTTCAACAGGCTGGGGTGTCACTGCAGCTCTTCCGCGTTGGATGCGCTCGAGGGTTCGTCTCCGCTGCAGTCCAGAGGAAGAAACAGTTGGAGCAGCAACAGCAACAGCAGCA